GGTGGTGGTGGTGGTGGTGGTGGTGGTGGTGGTGGTGGTGGACCAGTGGTGGTGGTGGTGGTGGTGGACCAGTGGTGGTGGTGGACATGGACCACCTGTGGTGGTGGTGGTGGTGGTGGTGGACAGTGGTGGTGGTGGTGGTGGTGGTGGTGGGTGGACCACGGTGGTGGTGGTGGTGGTGGTGGTGGTGGTGGTGGGTGGTGGTGGTGTGGTGTGGTGGACGTGGTGGTGGTGGACCACGTGGTGGGTGGACATGGACCAGTGGTGGTGGTGGTGGTGGTGGTGGTGGTGGTGGACTGTGGTGGTGGTGGTGGTGGTGGTGGTGGACAGTTGTTCCACCTGGTGGTGGTGGTGGTGGTGGACATGGACCACTGGTGGTGGTGGTGGACCACGTGGTGGTGGTGGTGGACAGTGGACCAGTGGTGGTGGTGGTGGTGGTGGTGGTGGTGGACCACGTGGTGTGTGGTGGTGGTGGTGGACTGTGGGTGGTGGTGGTGGTGGTGGTGGTGGTGGTGGTACCACAGTGGTGGTGGTGGTGGACCACAGTGGGTGGTGGTGGTGGGGACCAGACCTGGTGGTGGTGGTGGTGGTGGACCACGTGGTGGTGGTGGTGGTGGTGGACAGTAACACACCACTGTGGTGGTGGTGGTGGTGGACCACAGTGGTGGTGGTGGTGGTGGTGGACAGTACCACGTGGTGGGTGGTGGTGGACCACGTGGTGGTGGTGGTGGTGGTGGTGGACAGTGGTGGTGGTGGTGGTGGTGGTGGACAGGTGTTCCACTGGTGGTGGTGGTGGTGGACAGTAACACCAGTGGTGGTGGTGGTGGACAGTAACACGTGGTGGTGGTGGTGGTGGACCAACACAGTGGTGGTGGTGGTGGTGGTGGACAGTGGTGGTGGTGGTGGTGGTGGTGGTGGTGGTGGTGGTGGTGGTGGTGGTGGACCACCAGTGGTGGTGGTGGTGGTGGTGGTGGACCACGTGGTGGTGGTGGTGGTGGACAGGTGGTGGTGGTGGTGGTGGTGGTGGTGGTGGTGGTGGTGGTGGTGGTGGACGGTGGTGGTGGTGGTGGTGGTGGTGGTGGTGGTGGTGGTGGTGGTGGGTGGTGGTGGTGGACCACGTGGTGGTGGTGGTGGTGGACCACGTGGTGGTGGTGGTGGTGGTGGACCACGTGGTGGTGGTGGTGGTGGTGGTGGTGGTGGTGGTGGACTGGACCACGGTGGTGGTGGTGGTGGACCACGTTCCTGTGGTGGTGGTGGTGGTGGTGGACGTGGTGGTGGTGGTGGACCACGTGGTGGTGGTGGTGGTGGACAGGACCACAGTGTGGTGGTGGTGGTGGTGGACCAACGTGTGTGGTGGTGGTGGACCACGTGGTGGTGGTGGTGGTGGACAGTGACCACACAGGTGGTGGTGGACCACGTGGACAGTGGTGGTGGTGGGTGGTGGTGGACCTAACACAGGTGGTGGTGGTGGTGGACTGTTGTTGGTGGTGGTGGTGGACCACGTGGTGGTGGTGGTGGTGGACGTGGTGGTGGTGGTGGTGGACGGTGGTGTGTGGTGGTGGTGGTGGACACGTGGTGGTGGACCACGTGGTGGTGGTGGTGGTGGTGGTGGTGGTGGTGGTGGTGGTGGTGGTGGACCACGTGGTGGTGGTGGTGGTGGTGGTGGTGGTGGTGGTGGTGGACCACGTGGTGGGGGGGGAGGAGGGCTTCACCGTCAATTTCTGAATGTTGTTGAAGTTTCCAGAAGCTGTGAGGTCGGTGTCCCCCACCACCACCTTGTTGTACTCACCTAGTTGTGCTTGCGGGGGTTGAGCTCTGGCTCTTTGGTCCCGCCTCTCAACTGGTGTCCAGCCTCCTGAGCCTATTGGGCTCTACCAGTACCAGTGAACCACAATCGACCAACACTACCACCAATACCAGCCCCACAGAAGCATCATAGCACCACATTAACTAGACCCAAAGGCAGAGTAGCTTAGCTCAAGCTTACTCATCGATTTAATTTAGATTTTTTAAAATTGTTGGTGTTAAAATTGAGCCACTCAGAGCAGCATTCTGAGTGGCTGGTCGAGGAGGAGTATTGTGAGTGGCTGGTCGAGGAGGAGTATTCTGAGTGGCTGGTCGAGGAGGAGTATTCTGAGTGTCTGGTCAAGGAGGAGTATTGTGAGTGGCTGGTCGAGGAGGAGTATTGTGAGTGGCTGGTCGAGGAGGAGTATTGTGAGTGGCTGGTCGAGGAGGAGTATTCTGAGTGGCTGGTCGAGGAGGAGTATTGTGAGTGGCTGGTCGAGGAGCAGCATTCTGAGTGGCTGGTCGAGGAGGAGTATTCTGAGTGGCTGGTCGAGGAGCAGCATTCTGAGTGGCTGGTCGAGGAGGAGTATTGTGAGTGGCTGGTCGAGGAGCAGCATTAGAGTCTGGTCGAGGCTGGTGGAGAAACAGCATTAGAGTCTGGTCGAGGCTGGTCGGGAAGCAGCATTAGAGACACTGGTCGAGGCTGGTGGAGAAACAGCATTAGAGTCTGGTCGAGGCTGGTCGGGAAGCAGCATTAGAGAGGCTGGTCGGGAAGCAGCATTAGAGAGGCTGGTCGGGAAGCAGCATTAGAGAGCCTAGTCGAGGCTGGTCGGGAAGCAGCATTAGAGAGGCTGGTCGGGAAGCAGCATTAGAGAGGCTGGTCGGGAAGCAGCATTAGAGAGGCTGGTCGGGAAGCAGCATTAGAGAGCCTGGTTGAGGCTGGTCGGGAAGCAGCATTAGAGTCTGGTCGAGGCTGGTCGGGAAGCAGCATTAGAGAGTCTGGTCGAGGCTGGTCGGGAAGCAGCATTAGAGAGGCTGGTCGGGAAGCAGCATTAGAGAGCCTGGTCGAGGCTGGTCGGGAAGCAGCATTAGAGAGCCTGGTCGAGGCTGGTCGGGAAGCAGCATTAGAGAGTCTGGTCGAGGCTGGTCGGGAAGCAGCATTAGAGAGGCTGGTCGGGAAGCAGCATTAGAGAGGCTGGTCGGGAAGCAGCATTAGAGAGCCTGGTCGAGGCTGGTCGGGAAGCAGCATTAGAGAGCCTGGTCGAGGCTGGTCGGGAAGCAGCATTAGAGAGTCTGGTCGAGGCTGGTCGGGAAGCAGCATTAGAGAGGCTGGTCGGGAAGCAGCATTAGAGAGGCTGGTGGAGAAGCAGCATTAGAGAGCCTGGTCGAGGCTGGTCGGGAAGCAGCATTAGAGAGGCTGGTCGAGAAGCAGCATTAGAGAGGCTGGTCGGGAAGCAGCATTAGCGAGGCTGGTCGGGAAGCAGCATTAGAGAGCCTGGTCGAGGCTGGTCGGGAAGCAGCATTAGAGAGGCTGGTCGAGGCTGGTCGGGAAGCAGCATTAGAGAGGCTGGTCGGGAAGCAGCATTAGAGAGCCTGGTCGAGGCTGGTCGGGAAGCAGCATTAGAGAGCCTGGTCGAGGCTGGTCGGGAAGCAGCATTAGAGAGGCTGGTCGGGAAGCAGCATTAGAGAGCCTGGTCGGGAAGCAGCATTAGAGAGGCTGGTCGGGAAGCAGCATTAGAGAGGCTGGTCGGGAAGCAGCATTAGCGAGGCTGGTCGGGAAGCAGCATTAGAGAGCCTGGTCGAGGCTGGTCGGGAAGCAGCATTAGAGAGGCTGGTCGAGGCTGGTCGGGAAGCAGCATTAGAGAGGCTGGTCGGGAAGCAGCATTAGAGAGCCTGGTCGAGGCTGGTCGGGAAGCAGCATTAGAGAGCCTGGTCGAGGCTGGTCGGGAAGCAGCATTAGAGAGGCTGGTCGGGAAGCAGCATTAGAGAGCCTGGTCGGGAAGCAGCATTAGAGAGGCTGGTCGGGAAGCAGCATTAGAGAGGCTGGTCGGGAAGCAGCATTAGCGAGGCTGGTCGAGGCTGGTCGGGAAGCAGCATTAGAGAGCCTGGTCGAGGCTGGTCGGGAAGCAGCATTAGAGAGGCTGGTCGAGGCTGGTCGGGAAGCAGCATTAGAGAGGCTGGTCGGGAAGCAGCATTAGAGAGCCTGGTCGAGGCTGGTCGGGAAGCAGCATTAGAGAGCCTGGTCGAGGCTGGTGGAGAAGCAGCATTAGAGAGCCTGGTCGAGGCTGGTCGGGAAGCAGCATTAGAGAGCCTGGTCGAGGCTGGTCGGGAAGCAGCATTAGAGAGCCTGGTCGAGGCTGGTCGGGAAGCAGCATTAGAGAGGCTGGTCGGGAAGCAGCATTAGCGAGGCTGGTCGAGGCTGGTCGGGAAGCAGCATTAGAGAGCCTGGTCGAGGCTGGTCGGGAAGCAGCATTAGAGAGCCTGGTCGAGGCTGGTCGGGAAGCAGCATTAGAGAGCCTGGTCCAGGCTGGTCGGGAAGCAGCATTAGAGAGCCTGGTCGAGGCTGGTCGGGAAGCAGCATTAGAGAGGCTGGTCGGGAAGCAGCATTAGCGAGGCTGGTCGAGGCTGGTCGACAATGTCCCTGCTGCCAGACCTCGACTTTAGTCTTAGTGATGACAGGCTTCACGGGGCCAGTCTGGGAGCCCCAAATGATCTCTGGCGCTAATTTCTGGGCCAGAAGGGAGGTGCCAAGGACGCCCTGAGTGTCATCCTGAGTGGCAGAGTGTCTCGTGAGGCAGCTGAGGTGTTGCAGAGGCAATAGTGTCAATGAACAAAGTAATTCCCCGGCAATCAGGTACCAACTCTTCAAGTCCTGATCTGGGCGGGAATTTCAAACGCGCCAATCAGGGGTGATAGATCACCAGCGGGTTATCAATGAATGAATTATCCTGGCCGGCGGGCCACGCTTTGCGACCTGAATTTCGGTATAATGGCTAGTTGGTTGGATAGTTAGTGATTGGGGTTAATGGGATTTATGTAGTTTATGTATATGGGTGAGTTGGGAGGTGTGAGATTGTTAAATAAAGGGGAAAAAATAGGGGTAAATAATGTAAAAATGGCGGAATGAGATTCAGACCCGCTGCGGCAAAGCGCGCAGCCAATAGGAAGGCAGCGGGGGCGGGGCCAACGGCCCGGCTACACCCCGGGTGTCGCCGCCGCCGGAGCCTCAGTTGGCGTTCTCCCACCACGCTGGAAAGGTGCACGTCGGGAGGGCTGGAGAAAAAAAAAATTTAAAAAACCCCCTAGAAAAAAAGCTAATCCATCCCACGCTCCTATAACCTCGGTGGATGATATACTGTGAAGTGGTGATATAACGGTGGCGGCGCGAGTGGTGTAGAGGCTATAGGGAGAGAGATATAGGGGTTTATAATGCCCGCCAGTAGCCTGTTCGCAGAGATGGAGCGGCCGACCCCGACTCCCAGCACGAGCTCTGCCATGGACGAACAAAGGGCGCTCCAATTGGCCCTCGAACTGTCGTTAATTGGATTAAACAACGACTCGACGGTGGGGCCGAGCGAGCCCGAGCACTACGTGGTGCAGGGGCTGGAGGCCGAGCGCTCGGCCTCGACCAAACGCTCCCAGAACATGACGGAGTGCGTGGCCGTGCCCTCGTCCGAGCACGTGGCCGAGATTGTCGGCAGACAAGGTAATGAGCGCCTCTAGGGCCGGGCAGGGCCGAGCACAGGCTCTGGAGGCTCTGTTTGGGGGGTTTTGAGTCAGTCGCTGCATGGGTAACAGCTTCTTTATCATCGGTCCTTGGTTAACAGCTTCGCTGTTGTCTGTGGTCATCTTAAGATGGTTTTGGGTCTTTAAGGGTTATTATAGTGCCTTGTAACCCCCCTACACCCCCCTAGCCCCATTATCCCTCCCTACAACCCCCCTAGCCCCATCACCCCAACCCTACCACCCCCTAGCCCCATCACCCCCACCCTACACCCCCCTAGCCCCATCACCCCACCCTACACCCCCCTAGCCCCATCACCCCACCCTACACCCCCCTAGCCCCATCACCCCCCTACACCCCCACCCTAGCCCCATCACCCCCCTACACCCCCCACCCTAGCCCCATCACCCCCCTACACCCCCACCCTAGCCCCATCACCCCCTACACCCCCACCCTAGCCCCATCACCCCCCCTACACCCCCACCCTAGCCCCATCACCCCTCTACACCCCCCCTAGCCCCATCACCCCCCCCCACACCCCCCCAGCCCCATCACCCCACCCTACACCCCCTAGCCCCATCACCCCACCCTACACCCCCCTAGCCCCATCACCCCACCCTACACCCCCCTAGCCCCATCACCCCACCCTACACCCCCCTAGCCCCATCACCCCCCTAGCTCCATCACCCCTCCTACACCCCCCTAGCCCCATCACCCCCCCTACACCCCCTAGCCCCATCACCCCCCTAGCCCCATCACCCCACCCTACACCCCCCAGCCCCATCACCCCCCCTAGCCCCATTACCCCCACCCTACACCCCCTAGCCCCATTACCCCCACCCTACACCCCCTAGCCCCATCACCCCCCCTAGCCCCATTACCCCCACCCTACACCCCCTAGCCCCATCACCCCCACCCTACACCCCCGTAGCCCCATCACCCCCACCCTACACCCCCCTAGCCCCATCACCCCACCCTACACCCCCCCAGCCCCATTACCCCCACCCTACACCCCCTAGCCCCATCACCCCCACCCTACACCCCCCTAGCCCCTACACCCCCTAGCCCCATCACCCCACCCTACACCCCCCTAGCCCCATCACCCCCACCCTACACCCCCCTAGCCCCATCACCCCACCCTACACCCCCCTAGCCCTATCACCCCCACCCTACACCCCCCTAGCCCCATCACCCCACCCTACACCCCCCTAGCCCCATCACCCCACCCTACACCCCCCTAGCCCCATCACCCCACCCTACACCCCCCAGCCCCCTCACCCCCCCCAGTCCCATCACCCCCACCGTACACCCCCCTAGCCCCATCACCCCACCCTACACCCCCCCTAGCCCCATCACCCCACCCTACACCCCCCTAGCCCCATCACCCCACCCTACACCCCCCAGCCCCCTCACCCCCCCCCCAGTCCCATCACCCCCCCCCAGTCCCATCACCCCCCAGCCCCATCACCCCCCCCCCAGCCCCATCACCCCCCAACCCCTGTGGCACCCTTATTGATTATTGTATACGTGTTGTACAGCAGTTTGTGCAGACAGCCAGCGGCTTGTCACGCCTCACTTGTGTAACAGCCACGAGGTGCCTGGTAACCTGACCTTGCAGGCAGCCAGCGGCTTGTCACACACAAGGGCGTTGGTGTGTGGGGTGGAATTTGCTTAGCCAAGCATGCATATAATATATATATATATATATATATATATATATATATATATATATATATATATATATATATATATATATATATATATATTTATCTATTAAACTTGACATTTAACTCTTAAATATTTCTGAATATTCACTTCTTCCAGCCATAGGTATTATTAATTAACTAACCTCATTAATTAATAAGGTTTAATTAACCCCCTCCCCCCCCCCCCTTCTAACAATCTTCTAACTATAAGTTGATGAGCAGTGAGGTAATTTTTTGCAGTTTTTTTTAATTAATTAATCTTAGCAGTGTGAATTAATTGGTAATTAATGAGTAAATGTATGAGAAATGAGTAATTAATAATGCTTAGTGTATGACAGGCAGTGTGGTGGGCAAGTTTATGGGGTTAGGGGGGTTGTGAGGGGGGGGGGTAGATAGGGATAAGATATACCATTGTTTAGTGTTATCAGTTTGTGCTATACCTGCCTGATATCAGGTGCAGAGTGCCATGGTGTATGTGGTTATCTCTAGTTAACCCACCCTCTTGAGAGGGGGGTATATCTGGCCTTGTGGGGGGGGAGAGGGAGAGTATACTGGTATACTCATTGCGTGACACTGCAATTGGCTAATACGGTAGTTAGTAATAACACTTTCTTAAAATTTTCTTGAGCAGGTCTTCAGTTATGCCTTGATAGCAGGTTCTGTAATATGCATCAATAATAAATTTACTTGCTTTTAAGTGTAGCAAGCAAGTAAATTTCTCATAAATCTATGAGTTTCTCTTCATTAGGGATGTGTAGGCAAAATTAGGTCTGGTCTAGGACCGGGCCGCAGGGACGCTAAGCCCCGAAATCACCTCAAGATTATCTTTAGGATGTAGTACATTGAATTATCATGTTTTTTTCACAAATGTGACGGTGTTAGACCAAAGAATTGGAGCAGGAATTTATTTAAGTAACTTCATATTTTAATACATAATTAGAAGGAATGTAAATGTATTTAAACGTGTAGGTGTTTACAGGACGTCTGTGTAGGTGTTTATAGGACGTCTGTGTAGGTGTTTATAGGACGTATGTGTAGGTGTTTATAGGACGTCTGTGTAGGTGTTTATAGGACGTCTGTGTAGGTGTTTACAGGACGTCTGTGTAGGCGTTTATAGGACGGCTGTGTAGGTGTTTATAGGACGGCTGTGTAGGTGTTTATAGGACGTCTGTGTAGGTGTTTATAGGACGTCTGTGTAGGTGTTTATAGGACGTCTGTGTAGGTGTTTATAGGACGTCTGTGTAGGTGTTTACAGGACGTCTGTGTAGGCGTTTATAGGACGTCTGTGTAGGCGTTTATAGGACGGCTGTGTAGGCGTTTACAGGACGTCTGTGTAGGTGTTTATAGGACGTCTGTGTAGGTGTTTATAGGACGTCTGTGTAGGTGTTTATAGGACGTCTGTGTAGGTGTTTATAGGACGTCTGTGTAGGTGTTTATAGGACGTCTGTGTAGGTGTTTATAGGACGTCTGTGTAGGTGTTTATAGGACGTCTGTGTAGGTGTTTATAGGACGTCTGTGTAGGTGTTTACAGGACGTCTGTGTAGGCGTTTACAGGACGTCTGTGTAGGCGTTTATAGGACGGCTGTGTAGGTGTTTATAGGACGTCTGTGTAGGTGTTTATAGGACGTCTGTGTAGGTGTTTATAGGACGTCTGTGTAGGTGTTTATAGGACGTCTGTGTAGGTGTTTACAGGACGTCTGTGTAGGTGTTTACATGACGTCTGTGTAGGTGTTTATAGGACGTCTGTGTAGGTGTTTATAGGACGTCTGTGTAGGTGTTTACAGGACGTCTGTGTAGGTGTTTACAGGACGTCTGTGAAAGGTGTTTACATGACGTCTGTGTAGGTGTTTACAGGACGTCTGTGTAGGTGTTTATAGGACGGCTGTGTAGGTGTTTACAGGACGTCTGTGTAGGTGTTTATAGGACGGCTGTGTAGGTGTTTACAGGACGTCTGTGTAGGTGTTTACAGGACGTCTGTGTAGGTGTTTATAGGACGGCTGTGTAGGTGTTTACAGGACGTCTGTGTAGGTGTTTACAAGACGTCTGTGTAGGTGTTTACAGGACGTCTGTGTAGGTGTTTACAGGACGTCTGTGTAGGTGTTTACAAGACGTCTGTGTAGGTGTTTACAAGACGTCTGTGTAGGTGTTTACAAGACGTCTGTGTAGGTGTTTACAAGACGTCTGTGTAGGTGTTTACAGGACGTCTGTGTAGGTGTTTACAGGACGTCTGTGTAGGTGTTTACAGGACGTCTGTGTAGGTGTTTACAGGACGTCTGTGTAGGCGTTTACAGGACGCCCGGCGCAGGCGGTTTACAGGACGCCCGGCGCAGGCGGTTTACAGGACGCCCGGCGCGGGCGGTTTACAGGACGCCCGGCGCAGGCGGTTTACAGGACGCCCGGCGCAGGCGGTTTACAGGACGCCCGGCGCAGGCGGTTTACAGGACGCCCGGCGCAGGCGGTTTACAGGACGCCCGGCGCAGGCGGTTTACAGGACGCCGGCGCGGGCGGTTTACAGGACGCCCGGCGCGGGCGGTTTACAGGACGCCCGGCGCAGGCGGTTTACAGGACGCCGGCGCGGGCGGTTTACAGGACGCCCGGCGCGGGCGGTTTACAGGACGCCCGGCGCGGGCGGTTTACAGGACGCCCGGCGCGGGCGGTTTACAGGACGCCCGGCGCAGGCGGTTTACAGGACGCCCGGCGCGGGCGGTTTACAGGACGCCGGCGCGGGCGGTTTACAGGACGCCCGGCGCGGGCGGTTTACAGGACGCCCGGCGCAGGCGGTTTACAGGACGCCGGCGCAGGCGTTCACTTTCGCAATTGAAAGTGAATAGGTGCAAATTCAAGATGGTCTGAGGCCACTAGCACTCGCCGCGGCCTCACGCTTCAATGTTGAGGCGTGTGTGCAAAAACTAGGTGTTGTGTTCAAAGGTCAGACACCACCACACCCGGCCCTTTGGCCGTCAGCCACCTCTTGCTGTGTTTCATACCTATACGTCTGTTCACCTAGTTTTGCTTTGCGGGGGTTGAGCTCTGCTCTTTAGGCCCGCCTCTGTTGGCAATCAACTAACTATTTAGTGTGTGTGTGTGTTTGTACAAGGTATGTGGAAGCTGGTCAGAATTGCTTTTCACCTTTGTAAACACACATTAATGATGCTATGTGAAAAAAACTCCTCGGACACTTTATGTAGCACAGATGTAAATCTCTGTATTTATGTCTGTAGGTTAGATTAGCATTTTGAAAGCATGCAATCTTGTTCTGTGGTTGATTGTTCAATA